ATCGTGTTCAGTTTTACTCTCCCAGTGTCACGTCGTTATGTTCATGTGTGTCAGCTGGTTCCCCATGTGTTGCCACTTTCCTGATTATCCTCCTGTGTCTATTTAGTCCGTGTGCCTTCAGTCATTCGTTGTCAGGTCGTCTGCTCATCCATGTCTCATCTCCAGGTACCCGTGTCAGTTCATTATGGTTAAGTTTTTTCATGTTTTGTTATTAGTTCACCCAGTTTAGGTTATTGTTTAGTTTTCACCCATGCCCTATTATTTTGTACCCTTGTTTCTTGCCTTATTAAACGGCTTGTTTTGTTAATCCACACCACTATTTGGTCTGCGCTTGAGTCCTTCCCTGCAACACATACGGTCTGCCCCAGCCAGACCGTGGCAATACTAAATATTAAATATTATTGTGCAGCACGTAAGATCGACAGCGCACAGTGTTCTTTAAAGTAGCAGCCAAAAAGGGTGTAGTTTGTTTGCAAGTATGATTCAAAAAGAATAATTAACAACACTTCTTGTAAGGCATTAAAATCAGTCAGTTCAATTCAATTCAGTTTTATCTATATAGCGCCAAATCACAACAACAGTTGCCTCAAGGCATTTTATATTGTACAGTAGATCGTATAATAGTAGATACAGAGAAAAACCCAACAATCATATGACCCCCTATGAGCAAGCACTTTGGTTCTGCTGGAGGTTTCTTCCTGTTAAAAGGGAGTTTTTCCTTCCCACTGTCGCCAGAGGGTAGCAAACATTAACAACACAACAGAGGGCAAAGGCAAGCAAGGGGCTTAAATACACAGTTGAGTAATCAGAAAATGGGAAACAGGAGGGAAACACACCTGGGAGAAATTAGGGCTAACAAGACAGAGGGAAGTAACACCGAATACACTGACATAAGACATGGACCTTCAAAGTAAAATAGGAAACAAGAAACAATTTACAAAGATGCAGACTTGACACTAAGAGACAGACTGAAAGAATAATAATAATCAAAACAGCGCAACTAAAGAATCTGAACATAAATTATGACACCGAAAAATACCAAAATACAAGAAACTTAAAATGCTGAGTCAAAATGACCCAAAACCTTGACAAGACCCCAATTTAGACAATCGCAGGCTCCCTCCCCACTGGAGAGGTGACATTCAATGTCACAAAGTCAGTCTGGATAGCCCTTACCAACACCCGACACATAATAATGTCATGACTGGATATTATTAAAATGGGCTATGCAAACATGGCCAATAACTTTTCATTTTGATGATTCAGGATAATTTGGGCACAAAACAAATTTCATTGTTTAAAAACTTGCAGACTTCACTTTATACAGTGTAGACAATGTGGACTCTCTAAACTAAATTTGTGGGATATGATCTTTCAAGTGATGCAGACCCAAACTGTTGTTGTTTGTATTTACTTAAACAGCATGCCTGTAGAATTAGCTGGAGTCATCAGCAACAGCATAGAACAGTCGTAACACAAAGAAGACAGGAAAAGATCAGTAAAGAAACAATTTTCCTGATTAATATAAATGACAATTACTAATATATTGGAAAACCAAAATACATATCACTCAGTTGATGTTTTTCTGTCCAACAGTTCCTTTTCTAGACTTGTAAGGATGCAATGTGGGGAGTGCTGGTCCCAAGCCTCAAAGACAGTAAGAAGCAAGCAGAGGGAGAAAAAACTCTAAAATTATTTAGAAGCTGATTTGATTCTTAATGGCTGTGCAACTGTTACAACTTATAACACAAAAGGTCAATGTAGACCTCATGCAACCAAATTAGACTAGCTTATATAGTACTTATTAATGTTTTTAAAAAGTCATTTAAAAACACCATCTACTACTGTGTCTAAATGTGTAGTGTTTGTTTTTCTTAAACAACCTAATTTAAATATAATCATTACATGCTTGTTAAAAGCTAACTTCAAATATATAAAGTTTCTAAGTACAATGACCAGATAAAACATATGGCAGTGTTTTTATGTAACCGCAAAATGTTTCTGACGACTCAACTGTGGAATTAAATTAATTCTTTAGAAGGACAAGCTAAATTATTTTCAACTATAAAGCCAACATAGACTTTAACCATTTAACAGGCCACTAATCTGGTTTATGGCTCTGGACTTTCACAACAAAACTTGTGTCTAAACACACTTTTTAACAAAACAAATACTATTGTTAATAATATTAATATTACTATCATTTACAATGTAATTAAAGAGAAATCTTCATTAAATATAAAAGCAGTTTACCTATGTTGCTGAAGAAAGGCTAGATTTGACATTAATAGATGCCACAGATGCACTGACACTATCATAAAGCATTAAAAAAAAGCTACGATTAAAAGCATTAAAAAAGCTACCATTAAGCATTAAAGTTTTTTTTTTTTTAAAATACAGGGGTTAAGAATATACAGGTCATAAACGTTTATATGGATTAAAGAAGAGAAGCAAAAGAAGCAAAATTTGCAGCTTAGTTTTTCTTTCTTAAGACAACTCAAATAAACTGAGATAATTCGTGTTTTTTTTTTTAAATAAAAAACTCTTAACTTACTTAACAAATTAATAAAAACTGAGTTCAGTCTACTTAATATTTTTAATTAAACACAACATTGGATTTTACAGTGTACAAAGAAGGAATAGATCAACTAAGTATTAACTCCCTCATTTCCAAACACTCCAGACAGATGGCTGCCCCTTCCTGAGCCTAGTTCTGCCAGATGTTTATGTTTTGTCCCCTTAAAAGCAAGTGTTTCTTTCCTACTATTCCTAATTTCTTAGTTGCCGAGTGGTAGTGATTTGAGTGTTGGAGTTCTTGCTATTATTGTACTGTATTTATATCACAATACAAAATTTTACCACCTAATTTTGCCAAAGCTCTTTATTTAAAAAGCTAATAAAAAATAATAAAAGATTTTAAGTCATGGTAATGCTTTGTGTTTGTTTTACAGGTTCTTCCAAAGATGACCCTTTCCATCGTGTCTGAGATGGATTGCATCTTAGGAAACAAGCCATATAATAAATAGGAACTGAGGTCCTAGAAGTCCCTGAGATAAACTGAAAAGTTATACTCACATGTTGAAAGAGCTGACAATAATATTAAAAAATAAATAAATCTGGAAACTGTTTTCAAAAAGATATAAGCAAGTAAAATGTTGTGCCAACTTAATCACTATTTGCACTTGTTTCCACTTAATAAAATGAACTTGAGCAGTATGGAATGCCTACTAAAATAGATACACTGTTTTGAACTAAGACACTAATACATGAAAAAAATCACCTGCAATGTAAGTTCGGGTTGATTCGTACTAAGGAACTGTTTTAAATGTCATCATCTAACTGAGCATGTAAAAAAAATTGCTTAATTTGCAAAATGGATTACATTTGTATCAAAAACATAAACTCCTTGCCTGAAAAGAAACTGAACACAATACATGTAATGACTGTTTATTGGCATGATTCCTTTGACTAGTTCCCACTCACATTTGAATTTCAATTTATTGATATTACTTGATATTACTTGATACTCATCTTAATGATATTAAGATCTTAATGATATTAAGATGAGTGAGGTTTAATATGGGCCTGATGGATTTCTGACGCCATTCATAAATTGAGTTCACGCTAATTAAATATTACAGTTTTCTACTTATAGTAATTCATGTTTAATGTAGTTGTTAAGAATTAATGTTTAATAAAACCTTTAACTTTACCAGCTTTTAAAGTCTCTTTTGTAATTACATTCAATTTGATTAATTATGAAACTTGAACTGAACCGAAATTTTACATGTGAGTTATCTTTTTTAGCCATCTTAATAGCTTGGGTGGCTGAGAGTTAGGATTAGAAAAATAACACAATGATTCCCCCGCATGATCCACTGACAGCATACATGCCAACCCTCCCGATATTTCCGGGAGAATCCCAAATTTCAGTGTCCCTCCCAAAAATATCCCGGAGACACCATTCTCCCGAATTTCTCCTGATTTTCCACCTGAACAACAAAATTGAAAGACCATATGCCAGAATTCATAGCGCGGACCAGCCAATTCCAGTTTCCAACAATGGTGGCATCTAAGTTTTAATATTACACTTATTACTCTTTCTGAGTCGCAAAATAAACTTGTTTTCAGGCGAGAATGTAGCTATGTAAACTTCAAATATCTGAGCAGGGGAGAAGAGCAAAGTCCCGGCACATCGTTTTCAACCCCATACAGTCTTTCGCTACTCAGGTTTAACGTAATATATAAGTCATTCAGATAACTTAAAAATGTTATTGTTTGACTTTTTTCAATGTTTTATTTGTTCATGAGTACATTGGTTTTGCTGCAATTACAGTTATTAGATTAGACTTATTTATTAATCCGTCAGAAAATTAACTGATGAAAACAGCACAAAGTACCACATGTGCTGTCAGTTAAAGCTGCAGCTGTTTTATTGATAAAGTTAAAGACAAAAAGTCAAAAGGATTAATCACTCATGTAACTGTGTCACTATATGCCAGCATTAACAAGACCTGAGTATGGTGTTTCAGAGAGCTGCTGATGTCAGACCTGCAAAGCTTCCGTTTTAAACACTTGATGTACTCAGCTGCATGAAGAGCACATTTGATTTTCTCTGACACAATTAAATAAAACCTGATGAAAGTCAAAGGTCGTCACTTGTATGTCGAACTACAAACTTGTGATCTGGAATTCTTTCACAGTTTGATGATTCAGAGGTATTCATACCAGAGTAACCAGAGAGGATAATATATTTTTTAATATATAACTTTCTACAGGACTGAATATAATATCTTTATGTAACAGCCTCTGGGGAGTATCTGACTATTTATAACATTACACAAACCAAAGGTCTCATCACAGTGTTCATGAAATGCTGGCTTTATCCATCTTCTGAGCTGGGCCTACGATGGAGCTCTAAAGATTTCTGTGTGAGGGAGCTGCTGGTGAAGATCAAGAGTCCTGCTTGATCAATGCGGTAAGCTTCAGTCTTCCTGGTGTTTCTTAAATGAAGCCTTCTAAATTATACCAGGTCCTGTGGTGCTGGCTGAGGCCATCTACATTACACCATAGCCTGTGCTGCTGCTTGAGGCATTCTTCACAACATCAGGGGCTGGGTCTCTGTTGGTAGAGGTCATCTACAGCACAACAGGGCCTGTGCTGCTGGCTGAGGCCATCTACAAAACATCAGGGCCTGTGCTGCTAGCTAAGACCATCAACATTGCAACAGGGCCTGTGGTGCTTTCTTGGGCCATTTAAATCACAACAGGGCCTGAGCTTCTGTTGGTAGAAGCCATCTGCATCACACCAGGGCCTGTGCTGCTGGTTGAGGCCATCTTAATTGCACCAGGAGCTGTGTTGATGACTGATGCCATAAACAGCACACCAGAGCCTGTGCTACTAGCTAAGGCAATCAACATTGCAACAGGTCTTGTGCTGCTGCCTTAGGCCATCAACACCATAGCAGGGCCTGTGCTGATAGCCAAGGCCATCTAGAGCACACCAGGGTGTGTGATGCTGGCTGAGGCCATCTACATTACACCAGGGCCTGTGCTGCTATCTTAGGCCATCTAGAGCACACCAGGGCATGTGCTGCTCGCTGAGGCCATCTGCATTACACCAGGGCCTGTGCTGCTAGCTAAGACCATCAACATCACACCAGGGCCTTTGTTGCTAGGTAAGGCCATCTACATTACACTAGGGCCTGTGCTGCAGGCTGATGCCATCTACATTACACCAGGGACTATGCTCATGGCTGAGGCCACATACATTACAGCAGGGCCGGTGATGCTAGCTAAGGCCATCAACATCATAGCAGGGCCTGTGCTGATAGCCAAGGCCATCTACATTACACCAGGGTGTGTGATGCTGGCTGAGGCCATCTACACAACATCAGGGCCTGTGATGCTTGCTTAGGTCATCTAGATTACATGAGGGCCTGTGCTGCTAGCGAAGACCATCAACATCACACCAGGGCCTGTGCTGCTCGCTGAGGCCATCTACACATCATCAGGGCCTGTGCTGCTTGCTTAGGCCATCTACATTGCATTAGGGCCTTTGATGCTAGCTAAGGCCATCAACATTGCAACAGGGACTGTGCTGCTTTCCTAGGCCCTTTACATCACACCAGGGCCTGATCTTCTGTTGGTAGAGGCAATCTGCAGCACACAATGGCATGTACTGCTGGCTGAGGCCATCGACACAACATCAGGTCCTGTGCTGAGGCCACCTACATTACATCAGGGCCTGGGCTGCTGTTGGTAGAGTGCAGCCTGTTTTGCTGCTTGATCTGCAAAATTATTTCCTTTTGTGACAATATAATTGTCTTTTTGATGTGCTGCACATGTGCAAAGTGCCAATTGTTTTGGCAAGGTGATCACTTCCAGCAAGATTTCTTCTTCTTCTCTATAGATGCAACATTACATTCTCACTTGAGGCATTTTTAGATAATTTCTAGTTTTTCAAAGAATTCACACATCTCACACATCTTACATATTTCAAACTTTGAAATTAGGGTTTTATATATATATATTTGGCAGCACGGTGGCACGGTGGTTAGCACTGTTGCCGCACAGCAAGAAGGTCCTGAGTTCAATTCCAACACCAGGCCGGGGTCTTTCTGTGTGGAGTTTGCATGTTCTCCCCGTGTTTGCGTGGGTTC